TGAAGTCCTAAACCCAGTACTGACAGCATGGCTAATTTGGAAATGGTAAGCAATGAGGTCATACTGGAGTAGGTGGGCCCCAATCTGGTGTGACTGGTGTCCTTATAGGAAAATGGCGCCATGAAGACACAGGGACAGGAGGCCCTGGGGGCACCGAGGACTGCAGAGGCGTCTATAAGCCTAGGAGCTGCAAGAGGCTGCTGGCAGCACCAGAAACTGCGAGAAATACGAGGACTCTCCTTGGCGGGTTTCAGAGAGAGCCCAGTATGGAAAACACCTCGATTCTGGGCTCTGGTGCACGGACTGTGAGACAAGCTCCTGTGGTTTTAAGTCCCTCGGCTTGCAGCGTCCTGTCACAGCAGTCACGGGAAACCAATGGGATATGCACAGCATTTCCTCATACAAAACTAATTCTGACAACCTGACTGTAATTTGCAGGTGAAATAATGATATTCGGGATTTGCATGAAACATGCAGCCTAAAAAAATGAGGGGTTAGAAAACACAAGACCAGCAAAATACCAGCAATTGTTGAAGTCAAACAATAGGAACAGAAGGTTCACTCTATTCTCTACTTTAGGAAATATTTTTTAAAAATTAAGATGGAAATGTAAACCATGGAGCAGGGTGGGGAGACGGGGAGTGAGAAAGCCCACACTTCACACGGACTCCACCGCCCTCAGCTTTGGTGAAGAAAACCGTTTCGGAATTCCGGCACACGGCCCACTGCAGGAGCGTGCGCCTTGCCGTCCACGTGCTTTCAAAATGCCAAAGTGACGCCTGCATTAGACATGGCCCCTCTGAGTACAGTCACTCTGACAACGCTCATTTCTGAAACTCTGGTTTCCTGCAGTGCCCAGGTGAGAATGTGTTGGTCAGGTTGCCAGAAACCGGCTTTATTTTCATGGTAAACTAATAAACTGTCTTTTGGTTTGACTTAAAATACTTCCCTACAGAAGCTAGAATAAATACACCAACAAAATAAATGGTCACAGGCATTAGGAAAGTCAAAATATTTCATTTTTATCCCTTCAATGCCTTGCTCAGGGACAGATACAGTAAATACCAGTAACATTATATTAACTTATGGAATCACCATGCAAATAATAAATTACTTTAAATATCATTTGGACAGGGTTGTAAATTGTGTACTTTAGAAAAAAGAAAGGTCACAACAAATTTTTATCATCTCTTTTCTTGCACATAAAAAATAGTAAATATTGTAACCATCTGTGGTTTTTAATAATTTGTAGGCATTTAATAAGCAGAGCACAGGGCCGGGCATGGTGGTTCACGCCTGTAATCCCAGCACTTTAGGAGGCTGAGGCAGGTGGATCACTTGAGGTCAGGAGTTCGAGACCAACCTGGCCACCACGGTGCAACCCTGTCTCTACTAAAAATACAAAAATTAGCTGGGTGTGGTGGTGCACGCCTGTAATCCCAGCTACTTGGGAGGCTGAGACAGGAGAATCACTTGAACCCAGGATGTGGAGATTGCAGTGAGCTGAGATTATGCCGCTGCACTCCAGCCTGAAGGACAGAGCGGGACTCCTTCTCAAAATAACAACAATAATCATCAGAGGGCAACTGAGTAAACGTAACTTTAAAGCTTTAAAGATACAAATGTGACTCTCCTTTTGCCTTCAGGCTCCCGCCCACTGTATCTAACCCCGAGAATTGTAACAGAAGCAAACTACCACATAAAGCTCATGTGCCATGAGAATTTGAATATCCTCTGATTTCACCACAGACCAGTTTCATGAACATTTACTTGAGAATCTACTATGTATGAGGCACTTCTCACTCATAGATTCTAATTCTTTCAGCACCTCTAAATAGATGTCACTGATGGTTTAGGCGATGGAATTCAGGCTCAGAAAGGTCACGTGAGTGATGCCTAACCGCATGGGGAAGGGGCAGAGCTAAGATGCACCCTGTCTGGCTCCAAAGCCTGAACTCCGGATGACAGATCCTCCACCAAGCCATGACAGAATTAGCCTACCCACAGGAGACGGGGCAGTGGCGTGGTTATGGGGTGGCAGGGAAAATATGTCCTTAGAGAATTCCATGTGTAAAGAGAAAGACACAAGAACAGCAGCCAGGTCTCAGATCCAGCACCAGGGCAAGGCAGCGGAGGTGCAGGTCGGGGGGACAGATGCGCAGGTGGACTGGCCCACAGAGGACCTTTTCTGCTTGGGATTCTGGGCCATGTATTTACTTCTAAGAAAGCAGGGATCGAAGGGTTCTGTTTTGTACACACTGAGTTTGAGAAAACTAAGGGACATCCAGAGAAAAAGGCCCTCCAGGGAGTGACTGGCCTGCAGCTGTACAAAGGAGTCTGGCTGGAGAGAGCTACCTTGCCACCACCACCTACATCCAGCAGTGACCCCAGCCAGGGCGGCAGGTGCCAGGAAAGGCTTGGGAGTGAGCGCAGATGCCCACTGTAGAGTTGGGGGCAGGAAAGGGATGCCAAGGAGGCAGCCTCAGAAACCAAGGCAGGAGACTCCCGGAAGCTGTGCCAAGTGCCCCACAGAGGTTGCCAGAGGGGACGGGATGGGACGGGGACACTGAAGGGGCTGAAGGACTGAGGAACAGAGGTCTTCAGTGAGGACAACTTTCAAGAGGCGTGGCTATGGAGAGAGAGGCAAGTTGCTGTGGGACTCGGGAGTTGAGACAGGAGAGGCTGGAAGGGGCAGGTAGAGGGGAGCTCCCCAGCCCCCTCACCCCCCTCTTTTCTTGGTGAAATGGCATCTGTGGGGTGACTGGAGGAGCACGAGCTGAGGGCAAACATCAGCAAACATCCAGCAGCATCTGCTGGTGGCGACATTTCCATGGTAGTCAAGCACCTGGAGGAGTTGGGGAGTGCAGCCACACTGCTCTGCCAAGTCATCCTGTGACTTCCTCAACAAAGGCAGCTTTTTCTTTTCTTTTTTAGACGGCGCTCACTTCGTCAACCAGGCTGGAGTGTAGTGGCATGATCTTGGCTCACTGCAACCTCTGTGTCCCAGCCTCAAGAGATCCTCCCACCTCAGCCTCCCGAGTAGCTGGGATTACAGGCGCCCACCACCACATCCGGTTAAGTTTTGTATTTTTAGTAGAGATGGGGTTTCGCCATGTTGGCCAAGCTGGTCTCAAACTCCTGACCTCAGATGATCCGCCTGCCTCGGCCTCCCAAACTGCTGGGATTACAGGTGTAAGCCCCTGCGCTGGCCTCAAATTATTTTTAAATTCTTTGATCCTCTACAATTGTAAGTATCTTTTCCAACTCTCTTGCCTACACACCTCATAAGCATGCTTTTTCTTTAGGCAAGTCAGCAATTAAAGTGCTCGGCAGTTCTTCTACATGCCTCTAAGTCCACCTGCCAAGTTACAATGAAATAACTCTACAAAACACACGGCTAAAGGCTGGCACATGATACCAACCACTGTTCTACACTTTGGTATGGAGTCCCTCAACCAGCTAAGAAAATACCTAAAATTCTGGAAAAAGTGTTCTGGGTAGTTGTTAGCACAACAAATTTTCAAAGTGTTGATTTTTACATTTTTAGGTAATTCATGTCAAAGTCATAAAAAAACTGAATAACTTGAAATTAATGCTTGCCTTAATCAGCTCTCACAATAACTCTTGCAAACTTAGTAATGTGAGAGAAGTAATCATAGTAGTAACAGTGGCACTACTGCCTATGTGACAGGAGTGCCCCAGAAACCTTTATTAATCCACTACAACCCTATGAGTTAGGCACGAGTATCCCCTTTACACACGTAAGACACGCAGAGCCAAGTTCGTAACGCTCATGCAGTTATGAAGTGCCAAGAGCCTAGCTACAGTCTGCATCCTCAGCCACCGCTCATTACTACCCCTCATACTTTGTTGCTAGCTACAAGGCTGTTTTTTACCCAGAGACAAAAATCCAGAGGAAACACCAAGAATGTCCGTTCTGTTTGTTTCTACAAGATTCCTCATCTAGCTGCGTGTTGACTCTCACTGGTTCAATGGGCGTTCTGTGATCCTTAATGTGATACTTAAGATAGACCCCCTAATATGGCTCCTATGAAGTTCCATAAATATATATCTGCCTTATACACAATTTATTTGAATATACTATCAGGGGCCAGGCATGGTGGCTCACACTTGTAATCCCAGAATTTTGGGAGGCTGATGTGACTAGCTCACTTGAGGCCAGTAGTTTGAGACCAACCTGGCCAATATGGCAAAACCCCATCTCTACTAAAAATACAAAAATTAGCAGGGTGTGGTGGTGGTGCAGGCTTGTAGTCCCAGCTACTCGGGAGGCTGAGGTTGCAGTGAGCCGAGATCATGCCACTGCACTCCAGCCTGGACAACACAAGAAGACTCTTGTTTCAAAAAAAAAAAAGTACTATCATAAGTCAATATTACTGAGGAATTTTTTTGTTTTGTTTTTAGAGATGGGGTCTCACTCTGCCACCCAGGGTGGAGTGCAATGGCACGATGATAGCTTACCGCAGCCTTCACCTCCTGAGCTCATCTCCCGTCTGAGCCTCCTGAGTAGCTGGGGTTACAGGCACGTGCCACAGTGCCCAGCTCACTGACGCTACTTTAAACTCTATCTGCGTGGGCTTTTTAACACAAAACTTAAATATCCCATTCAGTCTTCTCACCCATCATGGGATTTAGGTGACAGTGAACCCCAAAGCACTGCTGTAACAGTTTCCCTAAAAATGGAAAGATAGCTCAAAGGTACACGAAATTGTCTGGCTTCAAAACTGCATAAAATCAGCTGCTAAATAGAAAACTCTTTTTTTTTTTTTTTTTTTTTTTGAGACAGGGTCTCGCTGTGTCACCCAGGCTGGCATGCAGTGACACGATCATAGCTTGTCACAGCCTTGAACTCCAGGACTCATACCCTTCAGTCTTGGCCTGCCGAGTAGCTGAGACCACAGGCGCAGGCCACCATGCCCAGCGAATGTTTGCACTTTTTGTACAGACAAGGTTTCACCATGTTGCCCAGGCTGTTCTCAAACTCCTGGGCTCAAGGGAACCACCCACCTCAGCCTCCCAAAGTGCTGGGACCACAGGCGTGCGACATAGTGCCCAGCTGAAAACTTTCTTTATTATTATCACTTTATCAAATGAATTGCCCCACACTTATTAGCAAACTCTAGGCACCTGTAAAATATTTAAGTGTAGCTGTTTCCAGACTAACTTTCTTCTGGAAGTTTACAGCTCAACTCTAACCCAGCATGATCAAGTGGGCCTTGTGGAATCAGCAGATCAATACAACACATCTAGGAAAAATCATACCAAGTCCAGCCGAACATCTGCAACTGTTACTCACTGTAAAACAGCTGGGACATCCAGACACGGCTCATAACAAGATAAGGAAGATTCTCCATTATCTGCCATTTCTGCACAGGGAAATTTTTAAATAGTTATATTGTTCTTTATACTAAAACCTTACATTTCAAAAATTTCTGTTGAGCTTCCCCAAAAAGGGCTTCCATAATTAGAAAGTCATATTTTGCCCATATACTAAGAAGAAAATAAAACATGAATAGTCTTTTAATGCATTTCAGGTTTGCACTTATTTTTGGAGACAGGGTCTCACTCCTGTTGCTCAGGCTGGAGTTCAGTGGTATAATCATGGCTCACTGCAGCCTTGACTTTCTGGGCTCAGGTGATTTTCCCACCTCAGCCTCCCAAGTAGCTGGGACTACAGGCATGTGCCACCACGTCTGGCATTTGTACTTTTAGTAGAGAAGGGGTTTCACCGTATTGTCCAGGCTGGTCTCGAATTCCTGGGCTCAAGTGATCTGCCTACACTAGCCTCCCAACCAAAGTACTGGGATTACAGACATGAACCACCGTGCCTGGCCTAGGTTTGCGCTTTTAATAATTATACTATAATATTTGCATTAAAAGTTTATTAATAAAGCAATCCAAATTTTTGGACAAAAACAAAAATCAAACTATTTTAAAAGACCAAAAAAAAAAATACCCCAAAGTGAGCCCATTTCAACTGTCCTTAAGTGTATGTCCACTAGTGATATAGTGATTCATTCTGTAATAACAAAGAAATTGGACATAAAGGAATTGGAAAAAAAGAGCAAATCTGGCAAAGACCCTAAACACTTACATTAACACATAAAATCTGTTTCCTAGCTAAGAGCATCTTGCTGAGCTCTGCCTGGATGTGATGAGACAAAGGCCCTCACATCGCCAGCCATCCTAGCCTCGAGCTGCCGGCAGCAGGATCTGAACACCAGCTGATGTTTATGCCACCACCTGCAAGGTAGAACAGTGAAAGATTCTAGAACTCGTAACTCAAAGTCAGTGATTTACAAGCAGTGATTTACTTATTGGGAAACTGCTCTTCGTCAATTCTTCGCTGGATTTCCAGTATCTGCCCTTGTCCACTACAAGTCAAGCAATGAAAAGCTGATGTGCTGGCACTGCCTCACTCATCATCTCTAATCCCTGGCTGGCAGAAGCCCCAGTATGAGAGAACTGCTGCTCTCCTGATTCCCTAGGCAGCTCCTAGGTGTCCTCAGTGTCCTGCTGTCCAAGAGGAAGAGGCTGGGAGATGGCTGGTAATAAAGCACTCCGCCTCTATCGCTGACCCCCATGGAAGGGTTTCTGAGTGTGTGGTTCAAAGTCAGGTCACATCAGAATTCCCTGAGGGGCTGGACTTCACCCCACACCCATAGACTCAGAATCACAGATGCATTTTAGTAAGCACTCCAAGAGATTCTTTCAATAACTAAAATATAACAACAGTTCCTAACATCACGCCTCTCCTACTAAATAAGAAACAGCAAGAATTAATAAATGGCAGGCCAGACAGTCTTTCCTTTCCTCAATATAAAATGTCTTTATATCTGTTACTCTTTACTCAAAGGAGTTATTTTAACCCAGCCTACTTTAGCATCTGTGAAAGAAGAGATAGCTTCAATGTTACTTTTACTCTTCATCAAAATGAATAACAGCGCAAATTACTTACGGAAAATTAATATGGCAAATATTTTATTAACACCCTAGTATTTGTGCCCTGCGCCCTATTGCTACAGCTGCAAAACCTAAATAAACGCCATCCTAAAATCGCTGTGAGGAACCACAGAAAAGGAATGAAACCTGGTTATAAAATAGTGTCCCACAACTTTTATTGTCGGCAAGTAAGTGCCAAGACCACTGAATGTACTAATATTAGAAATTCAGAAAACTAGTTCCAACAAAGCATAGTTCTATTTTCTCCCGATGTTTCCTGCATCTTAATCACTCTAAGCTATAAATCACATGACTTACAAAAAGCGCGGTGGAAGAAAACACCAACAGAAAAACAGGATTTCTTATGCTATCAACATGAAGGTTCTGCTTTACACATACAACAAACAAACAAGGCACCAAAAAAGGGCATCCTTTTAAATTAAGGATCTGCGCTCTCAAAACCTGCAAGTGTTATTTTGTTCACTGCACTGTAAGTTTGGGAAAAACGCCTTATCAACAGAAGTAATGAATTCCTTCGAGGGGAGGGGATCATAAACCCTTTAAAATGTGAACTACAGGAGCTCCCTGCAGAAAAAGGCGCGAAACGCCGGCACAGTCCCCGACAGCGCTCGCCCGCAGCGCGGGAAGGAATCGCCCGGACCACGGCACCGCGG